ACCCTCGGCGGGAGCACCGCCGCGCTTCCCAAGCGGCGCACTGTAGCAGTGCGCCACCGGGCCGGCCCCAGGAATTAAATTATTTTAAATAGTGATTGTTACAAATACGAGGGGTTAACCACAGTCCCCCCAAAAGATACATTTTAAAAATTGAGCCATCAAAATTCATTTTGCTTGGGTAAAAAGAGCAAATCTATGACTGTATTTGGAACCTAGAATGAGGATTATTTGTTGTTATCTAAAGAACATTTTTAGGAAGCAGAAAACAAATCAAACCTTCAGGGAAGATTAAGGAACAGAAAATGCTAGAGAATAGCCAAGGGAGATCAAGGTTAAGAAAATAAAATATGGGACCCAGAGAAAAGTAGATGGTTAAAATGGCAGGGTTTTCTATATCTTCGTTACTGAGACCAGCTAAATTCTTAATCCACACAAACTAAAACTCTGATGGGAAGTGGTTCAGGGTTAGGCACCTGGAATTTCACTAGCAGCTTTTCCCCTTTGGAAAGAAAACACACAAATGTATCCAGAACTCAAATGCCCGTCCAGATCTTCAAGGCGGCAGGGCTAGCTGAGGAGCCACCAGCTGCCAGGAGCTGACAGCAATATTCCACGACGGTTAAGGAAAGAAAATCCATCCAACTGGCATCCCAAGGTAGATAGTAAAAAAATAATGGCAACGGGTTGTGGCAATGGCAATTTTGACCCAACGCTTGTTAAAAAAAAAAAAAAAAAAAAGGCTGGACCCACTTTTTGTTAAAGTACAAATTTATAGGTACTGGGAACAGGGGCTGGAGAAAAGAAAATAGGACTCATATAATAACAGAACATTAAATGTACTGTAAAATGCACGTATCAGCCAGAATGCCACTGTGTGCCGTGTTCAGTGAGGCACATAAAAGTAAATGGATTCAAGTTTTTAACTCACAGATGTCATGAGAAAGAAAGCAACAGGTTCTGTCTCCACCCTAAGTGGCCTTTTCTCCCTCTTTAAATCATGAATATTGAGCTTCACTTTAATGTGCAAAAGCACAGATTGAGAGCAGTCATCTACCTTTTTTTAAATCAGCGTATTCATTGTTACAAATCAAACTGATTCTTTATGCCCCTTGTCCAATCTCTCCGCTTCCCCCTCTAATAAGCATAGATCTGTTCTCCCCATCTGATAGATTAACTGTTCCTCTGTTGTGGCCTAGGTGACCCGTCCATTGCTGGGACATGTGTGACCAGGTCCTCTATTATCTTAAAGCAGATGCTTCTTCTATTACTCTGGAGTGTGATTTGTGGAGAGAGAAGACCTCTCCTATTTTTTTGTTGTTGTTGTTGTTCTCTGCTGGTGCCTCTCCTGTGTCAATGCAGTTGACAGTCTGACGTGCCACCTGCTTGGTGGCTGTGACCACTGCTATAGAGACTAGCTGCTTTTGCAGCAGTCGTGGCAACTACAGCGGCTATGATGGGCGACCCACACGGAAACGGTGTTTTTGGTGTGCTCTTTACCTGCATGTGGCTCGGTGTGGGTGACCCTGGCGGGAAAATTGTTTTTGTAAACACTAAGCAAGACCCAAGAGGGGGTCACAGGTTCTATTTTCTAGGTCTCTACTAGTACTAAAAAATAACTTGAAATTAAACAGCAATCTACTTAACCATTAATAAGGTCATATTCGATAACAAGGTTTCTACACGCTTAATACTGTATGGTTTGGATTGCCTCGTTCAACTTTAGTTTCAGGTGTGTAGGGGTTTTGCTTGGTTCTATAAAATACGCTGAATGTATTTCTCACTGGGGTCACTGTAAAAATCTGAAAAACATCGATGTAGAAAATCTCTTGTTAAGCCCCAATTATTTTTAAGATTATATTCTTAATGTATTTTACAGTTTGGAGGCTGGGAAGTCCAAAGTTCAGGGAGCATTATCTGGTGAGGGTCTTCTTCTGGGTGGAAACTCTCTACAGGGTCCTGGGGTGACCAGGGTGTCACATGGTGAGAGTGGGCTGACCAAGAGACAAGCGACCTGCCCACTCACTCTCCTTATGAAGCCATCAGAACCACGCCCATGACTCCATGAGTGAGTCAATCCATGCACAAGGGCACAGTCCTCACAATCTAATCAACTCTCAAAGACCCCACTTTTCAAATACCATAATTGGCTTTCCCACCAATGGAAAGCATCAAGTCGAAGGTATACCTGTTCCCCAATGTTCATTGCAGCACTCTTTACAATAGCCAAGAGCTGGAATCAGCCCAAATGTCCATCATCGGATGAGTGGATATGGAAATTGGAATTTTAATGGGGATTGCATTAAATGGTTTGGAGGTTCCTTAAACAGCTGAAGATAGATCTACCATACGACGCAGCTATCCCACTGCTGGGAATATATCCAAAGGAATGGAAATCATCAAGTCGAAGGTATACTTGTTTCCCAATGTTCATTGCAGCACTCTTCACAATAGCCAAGAGCTGGAATCAGCCCAAATGTCCTTCATCGGATGAGTGGATACGGAAAATGTGGTATATCTACACAATGGAATATTACTCTGCTATAAAAACGAATGAAATACTGCCATTTGCAACAACATGGATGGACCTTGAGAGAATTATATTAAGTGAAACAAGTCAGGCACAGAAAGAGAAATACCACATGTTCTCACTTATTGGTGGGAGCTAAAAATAAATAAATAAATTCACACGCACACACAAAAAAAAACCGGGGGGGGGGAGGGGGAAAGAAGACTTAACAACTACAACTCCTTCAAGTTGATACAACAAGCAAACAGAAAGGACATTGTTGGGTGGGAGGGAGGAGAGGGAGGAGGGAGGGGGGTTTCTGTGATGGGCCATAATAATCAGCCACATTGTATATCGACAAAATAAAATTAGGAAAAAAAAAATAAGCACACTGTAAAATAACTTTAAGAACTCAGGTCTCTATAGATCAAATTATCTCTGTTCATTCCCTGCTTACTGGACTGACGTCACTTCTTCAACGCTGCCTTCAGTAATTTTAAAAAACAAATTTCCCTTTTTCCAAGGCACTTACTTTAAATGGCCTCTGCCCAGATCCTGATTCATTATGAAGAATTGTTTTTCGGCCAGTGGATTTCTGAGACATTGCCCCCAAGGGGACTACGAAAGCTGAATTTGCAGCAGGCTCCATGCCAGACATTTATAACTAGATATGAAAGCATGAAAATATTCTCTGTAATGTCCTTAAGAACTAAAGATGTTTCGGATGACTCAAGACACAAGCGGGCAGGTCCCAGCCTTCTCTGATTTTTGGACTGGGAGCTGGAGCTTTAATGGTCTTTGCCAGGGGCTGGGGAAAGGGGTTTAGGAGGGTTGCTGTTCAATGGGTGTAAAGTTTCAGTCCTGCAGGATGAAAAAGTTCTAGAGATCTGCCGTCCAACGTCATGTTTGACATAAACAATACTGTACCATACACTCACAACTTTGTTAAGAGGGTAGATCTCTTGTGCTTTTTATCTCAGTTGTTTAAAGAAAATTTGTCCGAGTGGTAGCTTCACATGTGGAAAGGGAGCTATTTCACGTACTGCTCAAAGACAACTTACCTGTGAAAATAAATTTGACCCCCCAAAAAGTTGATTGAGCAATTAAAGAGATTGCAGTTTTCTGCCTTATCGCAAAACAGCAAATCCCAAATTCCCTCACCGATCACACTCCCTGTAGGCCCTCACCCTTGACAGTTTTACCCAGCCTCCAATACAATCATCGGGAAATAGAGAACCTTATTATTCGTTTCTTCAAGGCACGTTTTACTATCTTCTTTTATTGTTGAAATGTCGTTTAGTACATTGGCATGAGAAGGTGCCAGATAAGAGTTCAGATCTCAGTTCAGTGTTTTTACTGTGAGACCATGTGTCAATAACAATGTCTTTCTCAGCCTCAATTTTCTTATCAAGGTGGGCAGGTGTCTTATCTCACGGTATTTTCGGTATGAAACTATACCGTATAAAAGCGTGCGTCCGCTCGCCCACATGGAAGGGGGGCTCCTGAGGCAGCAGACTTCCTCTCGGTCTCTGCAAGGAATACCAGAGACAGCAGGGCTTCACCTATCTGTTTTTCTTTAACATCCCTGGAACAAGGTCATCTGATCCTTTTGACAAGAATGCAGAACAAGCTTGGCTTTTTGCAAAGTAAGAGATCTCCAAGAACAGAATGTGTCTAAAAATATACACAGAATAGGCTAAGCACCTGCTCTATAGAAACTCCAGACCAAGCCCTGCTTAACTCCCAGGGAATTCTAGGAAGGGGCTGGAGGATCTTGGCCATAAGTAAATGGGCTTGTGTGTGTGTGACCCTCAGTTGGGGGTGATGCTCCAGCTCTTGGTAACAGCAAGTGCTCAATGTGTGTTAAAAATCACCTATTGATGGATTTGCAGTGATAAAGGCAAGATGTTTTCAGCAAGCTGCAAAACTGACTCAGAAAGCTAACGTCAATCAAATTAGTTAATTAACGCTTTTTACTACAATATGCTACTTCAATTCTAAAGGAATTTTTAGTTATAAAAGGGCTCAGGGACAGGATGTGTGGGTGTGTCATTATCAAACTTTATGGCAAATCAAAATAAAATTTCAGTTTCATAAAACTCAAAAAAAAAAATAAAAGTTCATTCCAAGCTACGTGAGCTGTAAGAGCAAGCAATAAAATATTTTAATTATTTATGAGGATGAGGGGTCACATTTCTAATTACTTGTTGAGGTGATCTGCAAAGTCAACGTAAGAGTGGGCAAATACCGGCCCAAGGTACAAATCTGGCCCTTGGATTGTGTTTGTCAATAAAACTTTATTGAAACACACCCATGCCCATTTGTTTACACTGTCTGTGTTTGCTTTCTGCACTCTGTGACAGACCTCATGTCCTTCAAAGCCCAAAAATATTTACCATCTGGCGATCTACAGAAAACGATTGCTGACCCCTGGATTAGATCAAAGCAGAAAAGCTAGAGCTTGTTCTGAGACAGAAGCAGACCAGAATGAGACTTCTTAGAAGATACAAAGTTTTATTAAACAAACCTGGAATCAATAATTATTACATAAATTAGACAGCAGTAAAATTTTCCTAGGGTCTATATACAAATCACAGTGATTTCCATTGTGCAACAAATAGAATGAGAAGTAGGCTTGTTTTTTCTTTTTTCTACATGAGAAGCTGGGGTCACCCTGCAGGGCTCCCTAAAATAGTCACATGGGCCCTAGAAGCACTAGAAACCTCTATGGGAGAGGCTGCCCATAGCCTGGTATGAAAAAATAATTTAGCAATGGAGGCTGTGCAGAGCTGAGGCCCAATCTCAGAAGACAAGGACGGACGGCTGAAAGGCTTCCAAAGCCAGTCACTAAAACATACGTGTAATGACTTTCACTTAAATAACAGAAGTGTCCACCATGGAAGACCCAACTAAAGCACAACAGATCTTCTCAAAACCCAGTAATTTACAGAAAACTGTTACAGAGAATTCCCCTTTTATGATGGAGGACTGTTCTGCTGGATGCAAGGCCATAGGAGTTTGCAAAGCAAACGTGATATAAAAACATTACACTGGGTGAAAACATACATCTCCCTGCCCACTTCCACACACACACACACACACGCACGCACACCCAAACTATTCAAACACATTAAGACATCTGTTTATGTCCTTTTTGTTTTTGTTAAGTGAACATCATCCACTCAAGTGGAATTACTACTGATAAGACCTCACCTCTGTTGGAAACAGGGATAAACGTTACCTAGGACAACCCACCATGTGTAAAATGCATGCTCGGTTGATGGACAGAAGAAAGATAAAGATCAGATTTTAACTCTGTACAATAGGTGTCTGCAATGGTGTAAAAATGATGCAAAGTCAACTGGCTGGGAAAGATAAAACCCAACCTGGTGTTTTCTTGCCTTTGTTAACCCAGGAGCTGCACCTCTCATCTTGATGGCTCTGGTGTGACGCTTTTGCAGCCTTAGGTGGTCAGGACTACAGAGGTGTGTCTTAGGGTCTTCCATTAACAGTATCAAGCCATAGTTTCACAGTTAAAATGGTCCAAAACCTAGAGGCAACGTCGGTCAAACACAGATTGGCAAATGCATCCCAAATCATTCACCTGTTTAGCTTTACAGTGCTTTTTCAATGAGGGGTGATTTCAAATAATTTAGTTTTTTCAGTATAGGTGTAAAGAATGATACAAAATGTTGCACTAGAAGTTTATTAACAAGTGATTGTGCAGTTGCTCAGTGTGCAATCTTATTCTGTTCCTGGGGTTTCTTCTGCTAATTCTGTCACATCAACAACAAAAATCATGATTTTTCCCATTGCTGGCAATAGTTTTTTTTTTATGCTGAGCAGAATTTAGACGACTGTTGGGAAGGAATCAGAAGTAGACCAGTGCAAACCTATGATAGATAAGCTGCATAATCAGTTGTGGTTTTATTCCCTTCCTGGCTTTAAGAATACCTTTAGCAGAGCATGCTGCTGGGATTCCTGCTTAGGAGAGCAAGATCCACACCAGTATAGTTCTTGCAATATATGCATTTCATAAAGATATTCCTCTACAGTACTCCTATTTAAGAAAATACTGCCAATGCATACAAGTACATAAAAAAAGATAAACCTACTGTTTTGTCCCATTACAAATTTTGTGATTATTTTCTTGGATTTTCCCCAGTATTTTGCACAGTGATTGTATGTGATCATCTACATGAAAATTTCAGAATGCCCCCACAGGATAAACTTTTCTTTAATTATATATAGTGGTTGTTCCATGTTCATGACTCATTTTGATTAAACCAGTCTTTGCACGACAGCTTATCACTTAATTCACTGCCCAGTCATGGGCAGTTAACACGCAGCACGTACCCCTTCGGATACTGAAATGCACACGACTGTCGAAAGTGGGTTTTTATCATCATCACATCGTTGGAATTCTTTTTAAGTTTTAGTTTATTTTGTATGGAGGCTTTTTACAGTATAATCAGTGCATACAAGGGTACTTCAAAAAGATCATGGAAAAACAGAATTAAAAGACAATATGAATCTTTCCTTGAGCTTTTTGAAGTACCCTGGTATTTGTTCAGAATTAAGGCAATGCATTCCTAGCTTTCTTGATGCTAATTTTCATTTTGAGACTAAATCTTGAATGGTAAGAACAAAACCTTAAAAATAGGCATACGGGTTAATGTGCCTATGTACAATTTTTTATGGTGTCCAAGAAAGGTGTTTCATCTATTTTATTTATGTAAACAGAATGCTCAAAAATATAATTTATGTTTATGGTCAGAGGACAAAAGACTTCTTCTTCTGTGTTCACATCTCAGTGAAGAATTTAACCTTCTAACACTCACTGATGAAAGGGTTCAGAAACTGCATGCTAAATTTGTTAGCCAACTTTAGCTCTCAATTTTTAATGCAAACAGTGTGGTAAGTGAGAAGCCAAGACCGAAAATACAGTTCTGTAGGAACATTTCCAAGGCTCACCATGTGAACCTAATTTTTCATTGAGTTATTCACTGTAAATAATATATTTTATTGAACTTTCTCATTACTCTGATTTACTGAGCTGCTGACACAACTTCCTGTAGAGAAGGTCTTTTATGCAAAGGGGGAGGGAAAGGTTTAGTTTCTTCAATGTCACTGTCTCTGAAGGTCTTTTTAAGGGGCACATTCACTTCCTTTTGCTTCCAAATCCACAAAGCCAGTGCCTTCTCACTTACGGATGGACTCTGCCAAATCTGAGAGGCCATGGCATTTCCTCTGACATTTTGCTACTTTAAAAAGTGTATGACTTTCCCTACGAAAAGCTCTCCACAGTACTAGATTTAAGTGCAGAAGAGAGAAGTCCTACGGGGAGAAGTCTCTTCCCAGGCACTCCACGGGAAAACAGCTCCAACAGCAAAGATCCCTGCAGGTGACTCCAGAGATCCTGAGCGGTGGAGATGTGAGAAAGAGTGAAGACTGAGGACACCCAAGCCTTCTCTTGTACTCATTCAATCACACCGCCCTGATCCCATCTGGTGAAAGCGCAGGATGCATGTAGGGTATCAGAGAAAAGGAAGAGGTGAGGAAGGGGTCTCTGAGGTCGGGGGGGGGGGTATCCCTATAGTCACCCAGGCACCCCCAGAAGGCTCTAGAACTTATTTCTCCAATGCACTAACCTCCACTGGGGTTGGGTCCCATGACCATCAAATGCACAACAGATTCTAGCAACATGTTTGGGCTGAGTCAGTAAACACAGCAGGTAGAGCTCATTTAGAATCAGGAAGAAAAAGGCAAACGGCAAAAAGCAAAGAAGATGAGTGATGTATGGTCCAGACCCTGAGGACCCCATCAATGTCCCACGTTTAGGGATGCATACATGGGAGACCCATATTTTGCAATATATGCATCATGACAAAGTCACCATCTGGGTGTTATGAAGTCAGTGCTAAGGAGACAACATTTGGAGACTGCTCTTTAGGGTATGCCTTCCTGACCAGTGCCCAAGAGAAAAATCTCACCCACTAATAATTCTGCACAAATCAATGAGTTTGACGGATGCAAACTGAACATTTACAAAAGAAATGAAACTGAGTCACATGCTGCAACCTACTGATCATGTGTTTCTTACTTTCTCCAAAATGAAAGGTAAGAGAAAATCTCTGCACGAAGGTCGTCTGTGCTGCTGAGCCAAACTTGTTATTCATGAGCTTCAGGACGTGCGTTTTGTTCAAGAGAGATTTAAAGTGGAATTTTAATAGGTAGCCATCCTCTTGTGCAATATAAAATTTTTGGATGTGACCAATTTCTTGAGCACGATGCATTCCTCAAAAAACTTTAATGACACTGAAGATACTCAGACTAAAATTCAACCTCATGTCTTCTTCCTTCCTTGTTTTGAGGTCTAGAGTAACCAGATATTAAGCACTAAAGATACTGGATATAGACCTTCCCATGATATTTTCTTCACAAATAACTATAAAATACATATAAGTTGGTAAAGATGCATGTGCCATCCTCTTTAGATTTTGTCCCCCAGAGAACAGTATTTTTGGAAAGAAAAAAATACCTTTTGAAAAATAAAAATCATAGGCTCTGCAAAGTATAAACATTTACATCACTGCACAATTTCTGTGCATCACTCTTTATATACACACATGCAATCTGTGGTTATACTTGAACAAGTCTAGTTCAGACTCATAAAGTTCAGTCTATGAGAAAAAACCCAAGAAATCACAGTAGGAACACAATGCTAAAGGATAAGATAAAATTGACAACCAAACAATTCTTTAAAACTTCCCACAGTGCAGTAGATTTCCAGTTCCTTAAATAACGTCAGGTCCATAAATTTCAAATGCTCTCCAATCTCTTTATATACATGTGAACGTATATAAATGTGGAAATGTCTTTATCACATCATGGACATTTCTTCAGGAGTGTGTATGTGAAATTCTTGTCTCAGGCAGGCTCAAGTCTTCCTGTTTCTAGCATGAAATAAGACAGAGGACTTTGTTAGTATCTGAATAAGTGGATACATTTTGTGATCACCTTAGTCATAACATTTATGTTTCCTTTTAATGAGTCATAACAGAAAACTTTCCTTGGCATCTCTTATTGCAAAGATCCTCGAAACTGAATCCTAAAAGCGGGTGTGGGATTTTCTAATAAAAAGACACTGTATGGTGTTATAAAGGTAGGTTTTACATGTTATATAATAATCCTCATGCATAAACAGATGAATTTATCCACAGACGAACTGCACAAAGAAAATAAGATCCCTGTTTCAACGCGTTTCACCAGAAAACTTTAAAGCAAGACAAAAAACATTTCATTATGACGTCAAAAAATAAAGCAAAGTGAGCTGTTTTCTTTACCATTTCTCCCAACCTCCTCCCTCCACGTGCTGGAAAGCATGCAGGATATCTCCAACAAAGAAAGGTTTGATCACACAGTTAATAATCAGCTCTCAAGTGCAGTCATTAACCTTAACTGGTGTCTTATCTATGGGGGAAGATATGGCTTCATGCAGAAACACCCCCCTGCATGGTACCTAATGCACCTGACCACTCTTCCCTACAAGCACCAAAGACAAAGACAGAGCTTGGTTCTGCTTCGTGTGCAAATTCCTCTTGGTAAAATTACTAAGAAAGACAACAACATTCATGTGTCTGGCTTTCAGAGGAGAGGAACAAAATCTAAATTTGTTGAATACAGAGAAAGCCATTTGGTCATGACATGACCTCTTGATTTCCAAAGATTCATCGTGAATATCATCAAATAGCCAAAGTATATTAAAGATGATTCCAGTTAGCAAAGATTCCATTTACACACACTTTCCCCAAGAATCTACATCACATTAAGAAAGGTTATTCCTCTCTGTGGAATCTTCTCGTAGCTGGGGCGGCTGGGGGAACAATGTCATAAAAGCCTTCCCCGCGTATAGCACAAAAATCCCTTGGAGACAGCTGTAAGTTTTAATGTCATGTATTGCATATATGTATCAAAATGTCACTCTAACTCCATAAATAAAGTACAATTTAAAAAATGGAAAAAAAAAAATCCATCGGAGGCTTTTTGTTTAAGTAAATTTCACACGTCCAGGGTCTGTATTAGAGAAAGGCTCTGCCCTTGTGGCTTATCTACTAAAAGCTCTTCATTGTAAAACAACCCAAGTCCTGTCCTCATTTTGAAGATTTACTGGATTGACATAATTTGTAAAATGTTGTGGGCAAAGCAGACTAAATGTAAACAGATTATGGAACATCTTGTAATTTTTAAAACCCATACGTAGGGTTCAGTAGCCTTGTTGAAGCTGATAAAGTTTAAGTCAGGGCACTCTTTACGTTAAGACAAACGAGCCATAATCATTCATTAAAAGTCATCACATACTGAGAGATTAAACTATGCCACAGAGACGTGTTAGGTTCTCATGGACATAGCTGGCTATTCCTCTTTCATTTTTTTCTCTATCATTTAAACTTTTATTCAGTTCTCCTCTTGTTATATCCAAGAAAATACCAGCAGAGAGTGAAGTTTTTTCATGGGCCACCTCTCTTAGCGGGAGAGTCCCCCGTCCCAAATCTCAGCAATGGCACGTCTGTTGCAAATAAGTTTGATCAGCCAATTAGCTTTCTGTTCCACATAATTGCGAAAATTGTAGAAATGGGAACAAAAATGGGAAAAACAAACTATGTCAATGAGTAGACATGTCAAAGACCATATTTTTTTTCTTGCTCGAATGTTATAGAAAAAAGGATCTCATTTAATTGGTACAATGGGGCAATTTATTGTTATTTCAGATGTTAATGGGTTAAATTTATTTATTTATTTTTTAAAATTGAAACATAATTGATTATATGTATGTGTGGGGTACAGAGTTGAATATCAGTACTTACGGGACGATCAAATCAGGATAATTATCATATTCATCATTAGAAAATGTAATCATTCTTTGTAACTTTAAAACTTAAAATCAGGAAGTAACTTAAAGGTCTTTACAACCCATAGTAAAAATAAATAGATAATTAAATAAATAGACCTTCAAAGGCTCAAGGAAATAGATTCAAGATAATAATAATATTTTGGTCATGTCAAATTAAGTCTAGCAAATTCCATGAGGTATTTGAGGTACATTTTTATGTAACAGAAAGAGACCTAAGGGTCATGTTCAGATGTAGAGGTTCTGATCCGGTAAACGCAGTATCACCAGGAGGTGGGGTAGTGCCAATTTCATCTTTTTGTAATGACTAAAATTAAAGGTGTACCTTCCAGACATGAGCTCCTGTCCTCAGAAATTCTTGAAGATTTCCAAATCTTCCTGTGTCACAGCAGGGGTGGTTTCCCAGTCATTCTCGGGATATGTTTCAAAATTGGAGGTATCTCCGTCGCCGGATATTTTGGGCACAATGGGGGGCTGTGGGATCCAGCCAAAACACAAAGACAAGTTTAGAAAGGGATGGTGGGCATTTGGACAGGGTGGTCATCTTTGTTTATGAACGTGGAAGGCTTGGAAGGAAGATGGTATGAGTAGGTGAGGTGAGGCTGTGCACCCTTAGTCTGATGGGTGCTTGTGTAGTTTCAGAGATTAAAGGAGGAAGGATGGTACCCAGTGCTTGCATCTCAAATTCTAAAAAGACAACTACCCAAGTTGTTTATTAAAGTGCGTACCCCCAGCTTGCCTAGGTCTGGGTGATTCTGATGTCACTGGTCCAATGGCCAGACTCTGGAAAATTCCAGTAAGATGGAAAGTGCACCAGACTCAGGTGTTAGGTATTATCACCAATGACACGCCTCAATCCTGAATCAATTAAAAGGGGGCCGTAGAGATTGAGAAGGGATTACCAAATTTTTCCCATAAAGGGACAATTAGTAAATATTTTCAGTTTTGTGGGCCATATGACTTCTGATGCAACTATCCACTCTGCCATTGTAGCGGGAAAGCTACCATAGACAACATGTAAATGTACGAGTATGGCTGTGTGTCAATAAAACTTTATTTAAAAAAACAAGTGATGGGCCAGATGTGGCCCACAGGTTAGAGTTGGCGGGCCCATTGATAGATTATTGCTGAAAGATTCTGTGGTGCACACACATAAAACTAGTTTTCTATAATCTTGCAACACTTACACTTTATTGAGAGCTGCCTTGTGTGTGGTGAGCACCGTCTCTCTCCTTAGCTTTCCTTATTTCACAACAAGGAACTTGAGGCTTGGTGATACTAGGGATCCTCAAGCCAAGACCAGGACATGAACCCAGATCTGTTCCCATCTTAAATCCCCAATGCTTCCTATGAGACAATTTCCATCACAAAATAGTTCAACCCATGTCCGAACGTATTTTATGTCGGTTCCAAAAAGATGATAAAAATTTACAAATTTGTACAAAGACATTTTAAATAAAGTAACTATAATAGTGTAATTTCCTTCTTTCTTTATACCTTCATCCAGTAAAAGAGCTATTTGTATAAATCAGGCACCACGATTAAACGGAAAATGCTATTCTGGCCTCCCAGAAATGTCACGCCCAGTCAAAAATCCTAGTGCACTCTCTCAATCATTTTTGCACATTGGGATCACTTGGTGAACATTCAAAAAGTTACACAAGTAAAATTGCATGAAGACACCCTTTTTTAACCATCGGCTTGGCAAAAATCCAAAAGCTGTACAGATCACAACTCTACTTTCTCTGTGGAGGGAAAAAAAAGCACTTTCAAACATTTCCCTTGGAATTACAAAAGGATACAACCTCTATGGAGAAATATGTTGCAAAATTACCTAAATTTCAAATACATTTATGCTTTGACCCAATGATCTCACTTCTGAAAATTCACCTTCACATAAATGAAATGTACCAAGACTATTCACTGTAGTAGAAGATTGGAAGGAAGTGATGTACCCATCAATTGAGGTCTGGTTAAGTAAAGTACAGCAGAGTCACACGATGGAACATGATGTCTTTTAGAAAGAATGAGAAAGCTATCCAGGTACATAGATAGATCTCCAGATTGTATTACGTGTAAAAAAAAAAAAAAAAAAAAAAAAAAGACCAGAACACTTTATGTACTATAGGTTTTGTATAAGAGTGGAGAAAATAAGACTATGTACATCCATATGGGTTTTTATTAGCTTAAAGAAACTCTGGAAGGATACACGGAAAGATCTAATAAAAAGTGATTACCTACAGGTGGCCTGGAGAAGATAGAGGGAAAAAAAAGTGAGACTCAGCGATAGATACACCTTTTTATATTGACTTGATTTTTGAACAATGTGAATGTATAAACTACTTGAATTATTATTTTTTTTAATGCAAGTGAGTACAATAGAATATTTAAAAGTGAAAATCTTGAAAAAAAAAATGATGTAAATCACCCCAAGGTCCAACCCCCATGGAACTCTGATCAGGCTGCTCTGGGGACTGGGAATTAACATTTCCAATAGCTGTCCATTGATTCTACAGCACAGCATTGAAAATGCTGCTATTGAGAAATTCTGCCAAAAACATGTCTGTTCCACCAAAGACATCCCAAAGAACATTCTGCATCTAATTGACCAACAGCACTGTGTTATCTGTGTTATCCCATTTCTTATTCCCCACTAAAAAGAGGAAAGGGATGAGATTCCTCAAAAGTTACAGAGAAAGTAAGAGATGAAGCCAGGTCTTTAATTAAAAAGTTGAGGTCTTCACCCTACTCTGGGCAGATCATTAGCAGTAAGATACTCACTGTATAGGGAACTTTGACAGGAAGAATAAGTTCGGTGTTCAGAGCTGACTAGAGCTCATAATATTATATGGTCTATTTCTAAATAGCTAGAAAAGATGATCTTGGCCATAATCCTCACAAAGAAAAGACAAATCTGCACACGATGGGTATGCTACCTACCCTAAGTAAATCATTGTACAGTATATGCATGTATTCAAATAACACGTGTACCCCACAGGTATATACAAATAAATTTTAAAAATTAAATTAAGAAATTCAACAAAGAGACAACTGGCTGTGCTGAGCATATTAATTATGTGTCAACCATAAATAAATGAGTCACAGAACCAGAGTCCGTCCTGGTTGACGGGAGCTAAAGCATGCTGTGTGGCCCACATACGTATGTTGTACCTTCAATTTCCTCTGCGGGACAGCTTCCCAGTCCACAGATCGGAACCACCGGTGCCGCTTCACGTCATTTGCACCATGCTTCAAAAAAAACCATGTGATTGTGAGCATATTGAATTTTGAAGGGCAGGAAAGAAAAATATTCCAAAGAATCTCTACATTATTTACTAAAGAAACAAACAAACAAAAGAGTTTGCTCTGTTTGGAGAAACTGTCTCTGGAGTGTGGGCTCCGAGGGAAAACTATACATGAAGTCGTTAGTGGTTCATTTTCTTTCTTTCGTAGCAGAAACAAATTGGGTTACGATGCTCATGAACGTGCTACTCTGGACAAAAGACTAGAGTGTGAATGTGATTTCAGCCTCTCCACCTAAATTGGGAAATGGTAATGTCTTGAGTTTGTCACCTGTTTACATCTTGACAATTTTATTCAGTATTTTACAGACACCCAAAGTAGAGTTCACTGAATGATGTACAGGTAGGTTCAACCTATGATTTTTTTTTTTAATTTTTATTTTGTCAATATACAATGTGGTTGATTATTATGTCCCATCACCGAAACCTCCCTCCCTCCTCCCTCTCCCCCCTCCCACCCAAGCGTGTCCTTTCCATTTGCTTGTTGTAAGAACTTTCAACCTATTATATTTTTGACTTACAATAGGTTTATCAGGATGTAACCCCATTGTAAGTTGAGGAGCATCTGGATGTATGAGGATTGGACTTACAACTTTTCTACTATACAACGGGTTTATTGGAGGCATTCAACGAATTTTTAACTGACAGTATTTTCAACATATCATGCATTGTGAAGCATCAATTTGCTAAGTATGATCCAGCAGTTAAATGTCAGGACTGGGAGTCAGACCCAGCATGCCCATCATCAGAGATCTTAACAATGACACACAGCACACTCTTCCCATCAACTATATTTATTGAGCTCTGTCTGCTTCATACTCAAGGATGAAATCAGGGACCAGCTAGCTGATGCGACGTGAGCTCCATGAATAAATTTAATATGAAGTTTTTAACATGTGTATTTGTTCACTTTTTTAAAAAAAGTGTTACTGGGCCAGCCTGGTGGCGCACTGGAGAGTGTGCCGCTTGGGAGCGCAGCGGCGCTCCCGCCGAGGGTTCAGATCCCATGTGGAGACCAGTTCCCGCTCACTGGCTGAGCGCGGTGTGGGCCCAACACCGAGGGTTGCGATCCCATTGCTGGTCCCCAGTACGGGCGCGACACTGAGGGTTGCGATCCCGTTACCGGTCAGTAAAAAAGACAAAAAGGAAAAAAAAAAAAGTGTTACTTATTTTTATACTCAAAAAGAGAATATTGTTCATGACCATATCTCTAAGAGGAAAGAAAGAATGATGCCAATTTTTTTCTAATTTTTTTTTGCAATCCTATGGTTTCATAATTCTTTTTTCTTTCTGTTGGGAAAAATATTTCCACCCATATCTAACTCAAACAACAAATGTCAACTGAGTTTTCCTTCAGTGATGCTGAGAATACAAATAAGACTTGATTTTTACCCTCGAGTAGATACAATTCTATTTTTAGTACTAAGGGGTGTGCACGTAACACATACACACACATACACCCACATACATCCACACCCACATATACACATGAGGGCACTTCAAAAAATTCATGGAAAGATTTGTATTGTCGTTTAATTTTATTTTTTCATGAACTTTTCGAAGTACCCTCATATAAAGTACACACAAACCTTGGTATCCAATGTAGAATTTTATCTACTATAATTTTATCTAACACGTGTGTGTGTGTGTGTATATATATGTATGTGTGTATGTATATACATACACACTTAGTATCCAGAGGGTAAAAGTATGCATATATATAAAGTTATATTACACACACACACACACACACACACACACACATATATATATTTGTACATGTGTATATATGTATAAGTGGGTATGATACGTATACACACGTGTGTATATATGTGTATTTGTGTATATATTTAAGTGTGTGCATATATGTATAAGTGTGTGAATATATATGCATGTGTGTATATATTATTTCCTTTTAATATGAAAGAACAGACAGCTTAAGTGCTAAAAATTTTCCAAGTATGTAGGACAGAGCAGTGTCCACAAAGCACAAAGGAGGTGGACAGCATGGGTATGCTTCCAGAAGAAAAAGGAAAGACACTCCCAGTGAAGAAAGAAAAGCAGCATGGTGTGACCATGACAGGTGCAGGCAGGGTGTGACAAGCACATCCCAGACAGTGTGATGGTTTCCCATGAAGACTGGTGATCACAGGGTAAGAAACACAGCACTGAGAGGACTCGGGGTGGCTGAACACCAAGCCACAGCCCTTGAGCTCTGTGCTACAAATGACAGATCCCCATTCACAGGGAAGAGAATGCAGTGATGGGGACGGGGGGACAATGGTATAGGCAGCTGTAGTACATCCTGACAGGGGATGCGGCACAGGACAGAAAGGGAGAGATGGCCAGAGCTGGGAGAAAGGCAAGGGTCCATGCACGTGGTACCTACTGGAGCACCTGCTCCTCTGGAACACATGTTCATTTTCATTAGGCAGTTTCTTTCTCAATCACAACAGCCAAGAGATGGAACCAACCTAAGTGTCCATTAATGGATGGAGAAAACAGATGAAGGAAACGTGGAGTAAACATACAATGGGCTATTCTGCTGTAAAAAGAAATGATGTTCTATCATGTGCAGAGACATGGATGGACCTGGAGGACATTATGTTAAGTGAAATAAGACAGGCACAGAAATAATAATAAATAATAACCCTAACCCTAATTATTATTATTATTACTATATTATTATTATTTTTATAAACAACCACACGATCTCACTCAAATGTGCAATCTAAAAAAGTTGAACCCATAGAAGCAGAGAGTAGATGGTGGATACCACGGGCTGGGCGTGGGAGGTGGGAACTGAGATGTTGGTCAAAGGATACAAACTTTGTTAGACAGGAGGAATTGGTTTAAGAGATCTACTGTGCAACATGCTGACTACAGGTAATAGCAATGTCCTGTATACTTGGAAATTGCTGAGAGTACATATTAAGTATTCTTACTGCACAAAAAGGTAACCGTAAGATCATGCTTCTTGATTAGCTTGACTTGGCCATTCCACTTGTGTGTGTGTGTGTGTGTGTGTGTGTGTGTGTGTGTGTGTGTGTGCGTAAAACATCATATCGTATACCACACATTTTGCAATTGTTACTTGTCAGTAAAACCCAAATTTCCCTCAGTGGATGAATGGACACACAGAAAATCTCGTCTATTCATATAATGGAATAAGGGATAAAGTACTGGTACAAGTTACAATACGGTACAATTACCAAGCAAATAATACAGTATGTGGAAGAAACCAGATACAAAATGTTTGGTACAATTCCACATATATGGAATAAAATAAAATCTAGAAAGACAGAAAGTAGATTAGTGGTTATTTAGGGCAAAGGCTGATAGAAGGACAGCAGAATCATAGCTGAAGTGCACAGGATTTCTTTTTAGAGGCCAAGAAAACGTTCTAAGATCGACCCTAGTGATGGTTGCACAGAACCACAAGTATATTAAAGCCATTGAATTGTATGCTTTATTTTATTTTATTTATTTAATTTTTTTGGTGGCTGTCCTGTCTGGGGATCCGAACCCTTAACCTGAGTTGTATACTTTAAATGGGTGAATTGTATGGTGCATGGATCCCCTTCCAATAAAGCTGTTTAAAAAATAAAAATAATGCTAATGACTTATAAACGGCTTTGTGCCACTTTGAAGTCAAGATGGGGATTAAACCCAATCTGAACTTGTTACTCCCAGAAACCCAGATTTGAAAATTTGGCCACTGATGACATAGGAATGCTGAGCCTTGGTTTATATTTACAAATATCAATGTTGGTGTTAAATGACAGAAACTTACACCAGGTACCACTTAATATATAAGGAATTAAATACTAACCTTCATGTTTCCCAACCGTCTCGTCCTGTCAACAACGAGGAGTTTCTTAATGAGGTCTCTATTTGTGAGAAGACAAAAAATAGACATGTTGACAGCGACCTAAGCAAACACAGAATGTCAGAGATCAAATCTACCCACTACGCATATGCGTTTAGACCTCAGTTCAATTTCCACTTTGACAAAATGTTTTCCAGCAGTTATTCCTTACCATGGTGGGCTTATAAATAATTTATGCAAAGCTGGCACACAGTTGGAGCTTAAGGGAAGACGGTTGATTAAATCTTTGTAAAGAAAATGTGCCTTTGGGGGCCGGCCCGGTGGCGCAGTGCGCCACTTGGGAAGCGCAGCGGCGCTCCCGTCGAGGGTTCGGATCCCACATACAGACCGGTTCCCGCTCACTGGCTGAGCAAGGCGCGGGAGCAACACCGAGGGTTGAGATCCCGTTGCCGGTCCCAGTCCGGTACGGGGGCGACACTGAGGGTTGCGATCCGTTGCCGGACACGGAAAAAGACAAAAAGGAAAAAAAAAAAAAAAAAGAAAATGTGCCTTTGGATAGGAAAGCGTGAGAAAATTGTGTGTCTGCCTGGAGGATTGAGATGCTCCACGTAAATGTACCTGTCAGGCTGTCCTAGCAAAATAGAAGACGTCTGCTTTTACCAAAATAAACAGTCACGCTTTGCCCCAGGGGGTCTACTTATTTGTGGGATGCCTGTTTTTAAAGGCTCCTTTTCCCATTAGGAGGAGTCTTTTCAAGTCGGCTCATTCAAATATATCTTCCCCCTAAATAACGGGCCAGGTCAGAATACAGCCAGCTGGTCCAGTTGGGATGAGAGGTTTGCGATCAGGTTAAAGATTTCCCTAAGACTGGGTAAGTCCTAAGATAAAATGTTATGGAAGTAAAAAGTGTAGCATCTGTGCATGCATGTGTGTGTACACATATAATATGCAGGGCACATTACGTATAACAATATCCAGGGATTTCAAACATATATTGGAAGTCCCCCAGGATAATCAAATACCCATTGCCCAGCTTTAAGTGTCTAAACTGACATAAACTATGCCCACTATGAGTAGCTCAAAGTCGGACCTGGGCCATGCTCTGGGTTCTGCAACCGGGGGGGAAAGGCATAGTCAGAGAAGTGACCTGACACCCTGGGTCTCTGTGTGGAAGCTGTGAGTTTCACTGGTCCCTTCAGATGTGACACATGGGCAGGGAATATCTGTAAACGCACAGCTCCCCAACACTGTGCATTCTGCGTCACAACAGGGGGTGTGTCAGATGTCACCCCTATCTATAAGAGAAAACCAGAGACTGTCCTCTCACCAAAGGCAGAGATTTGATGTCCATCCAGTAAAGGATAAAAGGTACTGAATACAAGAGCACTGAAAAGTCAGATGCCTTCCTAGGACGTACATGGAGTTTCCCCTTTACTATTGTGACATGCCAAAAAAGAAAAAAATCAAGGTCAAACACCACAGCCCTAAAACATTCCCAAATAAATGTGGAGGGTTTCTTCCCCCTATTATTTGCACCACTGTGCACCTCATTCTTCCACACTACCCAAAGCGATCTACAGATTCAATGCAATTCCCAACAAAATCCCAATGGCGTTCTTCACAGAAACAGAAAAAACAATCCTAACATTCACATGCAACACCCAAAGACCCCAAACAGCCGAAGCAATCCTGAGCAAAAAAAAATAAAGCTGGAGGCCTTACACTACCTGACTTCAAAACCAAACCAAATCATACTACAAAGCTATAGTCATCAAAGCTACAGTTTTTATGGTACTGGCATAAAAAGACATTCAGGTCAGTGGAACAGAACGGAGAACACAGAAATGAACCCACTTACAGCCAACTGATCTTCAACAAAGGCACCAAAAATACACACTGGGAAAAAGACAACCTTTTTAATAAATGGTGCTGGGAAAACTGGACATCCACATGTAGAAGAATCAAACTAGACCTGCACCTGTCGCTACATACAAAAATCAACTCAAAATGGATTAAAGACTTAAATAGAAGGCCTGAAACTTTAAAACTAAGCATACAGGAAACACTTCAGGATAGAGGACTGGGCACAGACTTTATGAATAAGAACCCAAAGCACAGGCAACAAAAGAAAAAAAATTTACAAATGGGATTATATCAAACTAAAAAGCTTCTGCACAGCAAAAGAATCAGTTAACAGAGTGAAAAGACAACCTACGCAGTGGGAGAAAATATCTGCAATCTATGCATCCCACAAGGGATTAATATCAAGAATATACAAGGGACTCAGACAACTTAGTGCATGTGCTTAAAGCTGACTGGACTGGGATTCAAAGAAAACAAAGGTTTATATAAAATACAAAATCCAAACTCTTGCAAAACTAGTTCTGAAAGCAAAGAATTCAGATGAGAAAGGGGGACCCAATACTGACACTGCATATAAAGGAACTGCAGAAGCATCGTGGCTGTGTGTGGGGACCTCGACCCAGGGATGGGATACACGTCTGCTGCTGATCTCTTCATAGACTGCAGCCAAAATTCTCCCTTTTTATTCACCGGCTGTGTTCTCTTGGATGAGACACTTCAAGGCATGAAAAAAATCACTGGGGGGTATGAGTATTAGCTCTACCAACTCAGCAACTAGCCCCAAAGCAAGACAAGTTTACATGGCCAAATATCAAAGTGGCGTGAACTAACCTGTGACCTTCAGAAACTAAGAATCAACCCTCTACTGTCACGGACACCCAGTGGACTGCTGTAGGGTCCCGCTTGCCATCGATTTGATAAGATTTTACAAATCATGGGAAGATGTGAAATTTTAGTCAACCACTCTTGGGAGCCCTCACAATAGTTGGCAAGGGAATTGGGGGTGGGACCCATCTAATGGGGACACCACAGTTGGTTTTCTCTTCTCAGGGAAGGTAAACTATGAGAAAAATGATCTGGGACCTTCACACTGATGATGGGATAAATGGCCTACAATGTATAGATACTGCCTTCGCTTGGAGAACTGTAAATTATTCCCAGCAAGAGGACAGGGGAATAAATCCCATGATTTTCTATAAAATTAAAAGGCTGTTTGCAAGAATCCAAGAAACGGTACACGCTTATTTCAGTAGTAGCAAATTCACCCACCAAAACACCTAAGTCATGTCCACCACAAGCTGGGATCTGCCAGCGTGCACCTGTGCCGAGGCAGCAGACGGTCACACCTTGCAGGCTTACCTGGGACAACTCCAGGTGGTCCAAGGTGCCCATCAATTGTCAGATGCCAGTGGGCATGACTGATTTTAACCCTATCATTTGGTAAATGGTGGGTAAATATATAACTTTATTTTAAAAGTGTGTGGCTATCCATGTGAAATGACGTCACTCAACTCAGGATTTGGGAAAGGAATCCTATATAATCTCTTTCATGTCTTTCTAGAGCAATTGACTTTTGAGTGCTAGATGTGTCCGTGGACATGTCCCTTCTAGATGACTTTTTTGTTCAATAGAGCCTCCTTTTCTCGCTCACCCTGTATACCAAACACAACACAAGCACAAACCACCACCAGCCAAAAGAAACACTGTCCCATTTTCTGTTCAGGACTAAGAAACCTTGATTAGGGTGAGGTGCATTCACCACTGACCAGACACAGCCGGAGGCCCCCATTAGGAGCACACTCATGAAAACCTGCTCTGTTTTCATGAAATAAGTTTTCTCTGAACTCGATTGGTACAAGCTATTTGGAAAAAAAAAAATAGCCAAAAATGAAATAGTTCTTGACTAAACACATTTAGCTCCATTTTGTAATCAGGAGGGGCTGGTATACTCATCTGGGAAATACAGTTAAACAATCAGAGATCAGGACTCACTATGGTGAAAAAATGCTAAAAGGTGTCCAGATTGAAAAAGGTAACTGGAAAACCAAAAGCATTACTATATTTTAAAAATACATATCTTTTTCCCCAGTTGCCACAACGTGCATGAAATGCACACACACACAGTTACTAACATTCAGCAAATGCCAACACGCTGGAACCCACATGCTCATTTAGCATTAAAAAGGACTTTAAGGATGAGCATCATTTAAGCAAGAGAGAAGAGATAAGGTTTGCTAAATCCATCAATGATTTTGCCAACCATGAAACTAGCTAGGAGAGGAGACTCATCCTTGTGAATACCAAAACTGCTCTCTCATAAAATACGATAACAAACTCCTTTATGTGCTAATTTTAAATATCATTTATCTCAAAGGGAATGAAATCTGGCCTAGAGTCATTAAAATGTCATATATCATTACAGTAGAATAATTAAAACCTTTTCCCTTTTGGTGGAAAAGATGACTGTCCTAAAATAGTTTTAAACACAGCACATTTAATAACGCAATATGCTATCCTGCCCAGCCTATGCTTTCACTGTGATTTTAGACGCTTTAAAAATAAACACACCCGATGATGAGGAAAACAGCTTACTTACTTTACAGTGAAATCCAAATGTCTGGGGAAATCGATTTTGCCTGCAAGAATTTTTTGATAAATGCCAAATGGGTTGTCATCAAAAAACGGAGGAAACCTGTCAGAAAAATAAACATCTATTTTTAGTGGACAGCAAGTCTGGAAAAATAGGCAGAAAATAATTTATTACACATATGCATTTTCTTTGCATAGCAAAGTCATCAATATCTCAAAAGGCACACAACAAACAGGTGATTCCACGAGGCAAAGCAGCCTGCCCTGCAGCCTGAATGAAGAAGTTACCTGGGAGAGGAGGTGATGACCACTTGGGAGTTGTTTGCTGCATAAATCACACTTTATCATATATTTCTGGCTCAAGTAGCCCCTCATGGTGTCAAAGCCAATATGTGAATCTCCCACACGGAAGAATTCATGTATGTTATACATGCAGAGGAAGATCAGTCAAATCAACATTGCTCTCTAGTTTGTATCTTTAGTCAACAAAGATCTAGTCCAGGGGTTGACAAATTACGGCCCACAGCCTGTTTTTGTCAATAAAGTTTTATTAGCAAACAGCCATGTCTGTTTGTTGTCTGTGTTTGGTTTTGAGCTACTACAACAGCACATTTGCTAGTTTCAACTGAGACTGTGTGGTTTGCAAAGCTGAAAACATTTACCCTCTGGCCCTTTACAGAAAATGTTTGTTGACCTTAAACTAGGGGAGAGAGAGACATATATGCAACTATAGCCTTGAAAACAGAGGTGAGACCTGTAAAAGCAACACTCTCAAATTATGCCTCATTGCCAGTACTAAAGATTGCAGTCCTGGTGTAGAAACCCACAGACCTATGTTTTCTAATGTCTGGAAATGGAAAAAAAAGAAAATCTGAAATAAGCTAAAGAAACAATACACATAAAACTACAAAGACCAAGATATAGAGAAGTCAACCAATAAATATATACTAGATCCTTACAGTAATTATATACTAGATACTTACATGTCCCCAGACAAAAGTTATACTTCTGATATTTTTTCTCATATTGTACAGGGCAAAGAATGTTAACTCAAAAGCATATTCTCTATCTAGCTTTTCAGAACTAAAGACTCTAACTCAGAAATACAAACAATTAAAATGTAAGATGGAGTTTTCAAATAATATCCTGATTGAAGACTATAAATTTCAATGAGCAAAAGTAATTCTCCTGTTGATTCCAAATTCTTTCCTGACATTAAAAAAAGAAAAAAAAACAAAAACAGACTGTAGTGGGTAGAATGGTGACCCCCAAAAGATACATCCACCTTCTTAACCTGATAACCTGTGAATGGGGCCTTATTTGGAAATAGAGTCTTGGCAGATGTCATTAAGTGAAGGGTCTTGAGATGAGGTCATCGTGCATCAGGGAGGCCCTAAATCCAATGACAACTGTCCTCAGAAGAGACAGAAGAGGAGACACAGACACAGAGAAGCCATGTGAGGACAGAGGCAGAGACTGGAGTGATGTGGCGACAAGCCCAGGGACGCCTGGAGCCACCAAGGGCTGGAAGAGGCAGGAAGGATCCTGCCCTGGAGCCTCTGGAGGGAGCACGGCCCTGCCACACCTGGACCTCAGACTCCTGCCTCCAGAGCTGGGAAAGGACACAGTCCTGTTGTTTAAGTGCCCCCAGTCTGGTAAGTTGTTATGGAAGCCCCAAAAAACCAATATACAAACTACACATTAACTGTCCAAATAGATGACAGAAAAATGAGTAGAAGAATTAAAAAAAAAAAAAAAATATATATATATATATATATATATATATATATAAAGAACGAAAATGCAGAAACCAGTGGGAAAGTTAGCAGAGAAGCAGAGATAGGTTCCATGAGAAACACAGGACACCAGATAAACATGAACGCTCGCCTGTGTGCAACATGGCCTTCAAATAGCCTTTTCTTAAACAAACAAACAAAAATTTCAATTCCTGAGTTTCACAGTTTGGCACAAGGGGGAGGTTTTCAACAGCCACATCTCCCTGAACTGCTGGTTCTAGAGTTACTACTGACCACAGATTGAAAATGACCCAGGCCAGAAGCAGAAGTGGGGATCTGGGTACAGACACATATCCAGTCCTTGCCAACAGTGAATTTAACGACCCCCAGTCAGCACTTAGAATTTTAGACCTTAGATTTTAACGACCCCAGTCAGCCCTTCCTCGTCCACCAGAAACGCTCTCTATCAGGGGTAGGGAAGCCTTATTTCCCCGTGTTCCGGGCTTGGGTGGTGGCCACATCTGAACACTTTCAGCTGTATGACTTCACTGGGGAACTGTACAAATCCAGGAACAGAACATTAAACTCCAGGAGAAAATGTGTCACACATACCTAGAAACATTTACGGAGAATATTAAACAAAGTGCTCTTAGGAAGCAGGCATGACTTGACAATATCATGGGAAAGGTATTTAACAAGTGGAAAAAATAATAACAGATGGGATCTAACTGATCTCGCCCCAAGGCATAGTAAAGCATACACGGCATGTGTCTCAGACCAGCACTTGTGCCCTCTGAAACCCTCAGATTTCTGTCCCTAAATGTAGACTGATGGCTTCCAATTCTAGGAAAGTGGGTAATGACTGCTCAGTGTACGCAATTTGGCATTTTAAGCAACTTAAGTTACCTATGGTGACAGGTACATTTGGAAGAGAAATCTGCTAATCGGCATAAATGCAGGCTCAAGAAATTCATCTTAAAAATTCATGGCAGGGCCGGCCCGGTGGCGCACTGGATAGTGCGCTGCTTGGGAAGCGCGGCGGCGCTCCCGCCCGAGGGTTCAGATCCCACATGCAGACCGGTTCCCGCTCACTGGCTGAGCGAGGCGCGGGAGCAGCGCCGAGGGTTGCGATCCCGTTGCCGGTCCCCGGTCCGGTACGGGGGCAACACTGAGGGTTGCGATCCGTTGCCGGACACGGAAAAAGACAAAAAGACAAAAAAAAAAAAAAGAAAGAAAAAAAAATTCATGGCAATCTTGCCAGTATCCGTGAAAATTAGTGTTTAAATTATTTTTATTTATACATATTTCTGGGGTAGAGAGTTGACTATCAGTATCTGTGTACAGTATGTGATGATCAAATCAGTATTATTAGCATGTTCATCATTACAAATTGTAATTACTTTTTGTGTCCCTTACCCAATCACTGTCTGTCCCCCGTTCCCATCTCTAGTGACTACAGGTCTGTTCTCTCCTTCTGAAAGTTCAACATTTTATGGCGGTCTTTCTTTCCTTGTTTCTTTGCTCCCACTTGTGAGTGAGAACATGGGGTATTTCTCTTTCTGTGCCTGGCTTACTTCACTTCACATAATTTCTGCCCATCTGAATCTTCCAGTAAAATGGGCTGTCCAGGAAAAACTGCCATAGGGCATGACTTGACGTTCTTTGTGACAGTCTCGGTGACCCTGGCTGGAGAAATACCATCCAGACCTACCATTAAGTGATAAAGACAGGGCTGACCTCAGAGAGCAGGTGCTTTGGAAATGAGGCCAGGGAAAGGAAGAACAGTGTTTTGGAGAGAGAAGAGAAGGGCAAAGGGTGGTCTCTATAATTTCAACATGATTTGACTTCATTATCAAAGATCCCTGCCCTGATACCCTCATATTTAAAAAATCAAATCTGTGCTCCTCACACAAAACAGCCTGGCTGAGATTTAAGAGGGGATGGAGAGCTCAGGAGTCACGTAAAGTGGCAGAAAAACAAAGTATGGGGGGATCCACGGGTTGGGGAGGAGTGTAGAGCAGGAAAAAGTCTGAGGGGTACCCTGTCTCAGTCATGATCACAGTGATTCTCAAAGTGGGGTCCCAGGGAACCCTAGGGCTCCCCAAGTTCATTGTAGGGGATTGTTGGAGTCCTTTGTCTGACTACAAAACTGAATGATGATGGATTTTCTTCGTACACCTCACCCAAAACAACATATCATAACAGGTAGGGGGCAGAAGAAGAGAGAAGAATCCAGCAGCCCTTAATTAAGCTGGATATTCAAGAGATTAGCCAAAATGTAAAACAAGGGCACTCTTGTCATAATATATTTTTAATTTTAGAAAGTATAGGATTTTTTAAATTTAAAAATGCTACTTACATCAACTTTTAGTGAGTTTATTATGGTTATTCCACACAAATGTATTATTATTTATATAAGGGGTCTTCAAAAAGTTTGTGGAAAGATTTGTATTATCTTCCAATTCCATTTTTGCATGAACTTGTTTAAGTACCCTCATCCATACACCTATTTATTTATATTTTAATCTCAATTTTAATTTTAAAGGCAGTCCATGTTGACTAATACAACCCACGTAAACACAGGTCTTTGGGTTGTTAATAACTTTCAGGACTGCAAAGGTCCTGAAGCCAAAATGTTTGAGAACCACTGAACTAACAGCTAACGCTACACATGGATGACGCTCCCAACACAGGCAAATTCCACTTTTCCTAAAAGCTTATCTGTAGTGTTAAACTCTCCATTAGGTGGATGAACATGGAGAAAATAATTGGAGAAATCAGAGCTGAGAGTGGGCTTGTGGGGAATGTTCATGAGTGATTCTGTTCCAGAATGTGCCATACAGATTGGATCGGACCTAACCATTTCTCATTCAACAAAAATAAAATCCTAGTCACCTCACGCCACAATCGCATGGCACATTTTACCCAACCAACAGTTTGCCCTGTACTTAATGAACAATGAAAGATTTAAATGACCCATTAAAGCAATAAACAAACAGACAGTATAGTCTCAATTGGTCATGCTAAGAGTGTGACTACAGAAAATGAACATCTAATAAGCAAGCTGGGGACAGGGCTGGGAAGGGAGGGGTGATGATTTTCATCCCAGACCATCTCCACTTCTGCATGCAAGTGCTCCCCCCAGCCACCAGGAAAAGTCCCAGAGCTCAAGGCAGCAAGGAAAATGACTTGCATGCAGTGCTCTTAACGGTGCTCAACACACACAAAACCAAGGTGGTTTCAGACCTGCTAAGTGATACAAATAAAACAGAAAGCGGTGAGTGGGTAGAGCAGGGCTCTGTGATCAGGTTGTAGCTGAGCCTGCAGCATGAGCAATGGAAGAGAAAAGTCCAGCCTGGGAGATGCC